ATAAACATGGAGCTTTCTTTGCAAGAAAAAGTCCAATTTTATTAACAAGTTTCGTTTACTTCCAGTGCCGATAAACAATGATTTGGAGCGTCGCATAGCTGATGCTTTCGAAGTGTTTGACCACGCAGGCAACAAAACCGTGGACGTCCGGGAAATCGGAACTATAATCCGTGGACTCGGCTGTTGTCCTACTGAGGCGGAAGTTCAGGAAATAACAGTGGGCGTAGAGGACCCGGAAACACCAGGAAGCGTCCACCTATCGAAGTTCCTACCTTATGTATCGCAACTGATCACTGAACATCGGCAAGTTTACGCGCTTCCGGGCTGCAAAGGACTAACAAATTTATTGTAGTGTATCACGTTTTTTCAGATATGAGCCAGCTAGTCCTGAGACTCTTTTAGAGGCGTTTCGCACCTTAGATCCGGAACAGCACGGCTTTTTGAATAAAGAATACATTTCAACGCTGATGACCCAAGATGGGGAACCGTTTAACCAGGACGAGCTGGATGAAATGCTGGAAATTGCCATCGACCCCCAGACTCAGACTATTCCCTATGAGTACTACATAAATCAGCTCATGGTGAGTGTTTGGCTCCTTCCGCGTCCCGCTCGTTCCTAACCAGCACCTCCCTTTAACTTAAGCACGAACCAGCTGGAGAGGCATACATTTACAATTTAGCTGATCGAGTGGAGGCAGAAAAACCTCCGCCGCCACCTCCTCCTAGGAGAATGTCCGAATACCTCAGACTAGCTGAAGATGTCTTGTAACGTAAATACCGTTTTCATTCACAACCCATTCCGAGTTCAGGGAAAAATTAAATCAAACCAGCAATCTTTAACAGTGGTTAAAATAGTTCTCCAAAAATATACAGAGCGTTTGAAGGAAATCCCCATTTCCCTTAATTATTTGATCAGTCTTATAGCTTTGAAAAGACAACGTTTGGGTCCTTAGTCAGCTGCCCCATTGTGGCATTAACCAAGTCCTCACTTTGCAACATCATCTGATTCAAAAGACCCTGAAACAGCATTTTGGGAGTAAAACGTATTTACGTGTGTTTTAGATCGATGAGCCCCAATAAAAAGTTAGCACTTACAATATGGTCCAGTCCCTCCTGCACTGTGTGGTCCCTTGAATATACAAGACTAGCTTTGGTGGTTTGCACTGCAACTGGACTCTTTTTGGATATTTCTTCGGCCAGGCCGATCACGCCTTGGATCAATCTGGGAACATGCAACAAAGGTACAAAAAATCCCCATTTTTACGGCACCCAATTACTCATCCTTGGTGTCGTAAACCTTGGAAACTAAACCGCGATCCAACGCTTCTGCGGCAGGAAATTTCCTGCAAGTGTAACAGAGTTCTCTGGCCAGACTATCAGATCCGATGACTTTGGGAAGACGCTGCAGAGTGCCCACATCGGCAGCCATTCCAATATCCACCTGGAATGAGGAACGATTATTATTAACTAAGTGGCGCTAATGAATGCCGACCTCTTTGACTTGGAAATACGCGTCTTTCGAACAGAATCGCATATCGGCTGCAGTGATTAAATCTACTCCTGCCCCAATGCAGCCGCTGTGCACCGCAGCAATAACAGGTTTCCTGCATTGTTCCAACGAAGACATGCTGTCTTGGTAAAGACGGATGAAGGGCCGGAATATTTTCGCTTTGCGCGCCACGTCTTCGACCTGAGCCACTTTAGGCACCATGTTCTGCGTTACATCTTGAAGATCAATTCCTGCAGAGGAAAATGTGGATTAAGCAGCATGCAGGCGAATGGACATGGAGGCAGCCCAAACCTGCAGTGAAGAACCTGCCGGCGCCGCTTAGAACCACGATCCTGCAATCTTCACTTTCGCTCATCAATTCAAAGCAGCTTTTCAGCTCACTAAAATGTCACTAAAATTAGATGAAAACGAGGGTGTTCAACTGAAACTCACCTAAACAGTGAATAGTTAATGGCGTTGAGCTTATCGGGCCTGTTCAGCTCAACATGGAAAACGTGCTCCTTAGGAGTGGAAACAGACAAGAATTCGTAGTTTGGCGTACTCGACATGTTCGCGATGTGTGTCTGAAGAGTATCTGCAGGAAAACAGGGTTTAAAGGATTGATGACGAACAACTAAGAGAATTTTCGGGAGAGTAACACTACGTTCAGAGACTTTCTGATGGTTGCCAATGCTAAACAGGCTGCAACGTACGCAATGAAACCCCCTTGGATTACTTACAGTTATTTGAAAAAATCACTGGCTTGAGAGGTTTGCTCTTAACAAGAAGCCGTGAAATTAGTGACATCACTTAAAAATCACCAGAACAGTGAACAAAATGTATGGGACAAATTGCCGATTTATAAAACCCAATTTTGTTTACCACTTGAACTTTGTACCATTTTAAATCTAATGTTTATTTTTAATTCGTTCTGACAGGAATATAACCTAAAATATTAGCAGACAAAGCACTGTCAACAATCACACAAAAAACTGTCAACTGGCTAGTGAGTTCACGGTAGCCAACCAGAACAACGTGGAAGATAAAGGGTTGTGTAGAATTCCATAGGCGTGCCATGCATTTTAATGGCGGTTGAGTGCATTAAAATTGGTGTACATTAATTTCGGCTTCGGGATGGTTTAAATTTCTTTATGGAAATGTCGGTAAAAAATGTTAATTAATTTTAATATCAAATGATCTAAAAATCGCTTTCTCAAAAAATTTATTTATGCGCGAAAACGAGATTGTCCGGTGTAATTTGCTGTTAAATCCTGTTTTAGATATCAACAAAATAATTGAGTTTTGAGTTAAATTTGAGTTTCACTGACGTCGCCCATTGATTGAGGCGATCTAGAGGGTCGAAAGTCAGTCAGAATGCGAATTATTTGCATCCTTCGGCAACTGCCCAAAAGGCGGTGTTGCCCCATATTTCACCTATTTGTTAATACTTTTGCCCATATCCTTCCACTTTTTTATTTGTTTTACTTTGCATTAATGTTGAGTTAATTCGTTAATTAGTAATTAAAACACTGTTGCATAATATTTGATCTAGTTTTATGCAAATATCTGCGTTTTTGATGAGAATTAGTTTATTTACTATTTTTTGTGTGCTCCGTGAACAGCTCCAAACAAACCCCGCAGAGAAAATAAGCCAATTATGAATCACCCTGCTGGATAGGTAACATTTTTTTCTGAAAATGCCATCGCGCTAGTACGCCACTGGTGGCACATGCGGACTGGAAAAAACATCGCAGGCGATGCGACGCCATTTTCCTGTCATTCTCTTTCTTTCATGGGTGGTTGAAGTGTGTAAATTATTTTTTCCAAGTGCATTCCCAGACGCGATGGGTTATTAGTTGCGAAAGTCCCGCACACGCAAGTGTGCCAACAACCTCACAGATCATGCAGTAAGTGAACCGAAGGCAATAATTGCCCTAAAAGGGATTACAGGATCGTGCCAGAACTCATTGCGTCAGCAGCATTCCTGGAATAGCAGATTTCACTCCGGCTTAGCAGGAAAAGGGGCCGGCAACAGCAGAAACGCCCCTTTTTTCGGAAATATTTAGCAGCCCTGCGGAGCACCTGCCAAGGCCCCCCGATTTCGTTCGCTTTGAACCCATAGCGGACGTTCACCCAATAACCTCGTCTGTCCCCCCTTAATGCTCGCATTCCTAGTTTGCACTGCAAATGTGAAAGCGCAACAAGTTTTCCTTGTGCCTTATTGCAAAGGAAACCTCGTCCAGCTGGGAAGTTTTCAGTGTAAAAATCTCCCACTCAAGTGAAATATTCCTAATGTTTACCGTATGGGGCACTTAAGAACATGAATATCACTTCCTGGTTTATTTATAAAACTGGCGTGTCATGTAAACAACCTGTCCGACTCGCCTGATACTGGAACATATGTTTACAAATTCCGGCCTAAATCGCATTGATTTCAATCGTCTTTATCGCAATTATGCCCTTTGCGAATTCATTTAGAGCTTAAAGGGCGCAAATCTGAACTGTTTTGTCATATGTGGGGCCCAAACGAATCCATATCGAAAACTTCCTCGGCTGCGATTTACTCAATTTTGTTCAACCAAGACGCGATTAGGCAACCTTTAACCGGAAGTAAAGTCCACAAAATATCTCGATTTTCTCGGCAAAACGTTGACATGTGACCTTTCTAGTTAACGCAGCTCTTAAGGCAGCAATTCATACCAATCTTGGTCTCTTTCGTTGCTGACATTTAACCCATGATTAAATTCAACGCCGCTATGCATATCCTTCTAATCAAATGAATATTAATAAGGCGCAATTTTTTTGTCCTTTGTTAAAGCTGAAACGCCAGAAAAAATGGGTTTCTACCTAGCAAAAGTATTGCACCTAATAAAAATGAATAAGCCGCTGACATATATCAGAAACGTGAAATGTATCTACTTGGATACTGTTTGGTTTTGCATTCGCGCCAAGGGCAGTGGAACTGGCCTGCATAACTAATCGCCAAGCTTACGTAAAGAATGCGATAAGCAAACGAATATGACTGTAAAACACCACTTTACCAGGTGAACCAGAAAATTGTGTTCTAAAGTAATTTTTTGTTTTCAGAGCCACAATGGCGCCCCTTACGCTCGCTGTCGCCCTTTCGGCAGAAACCGCTTTATTAAACGATCTTTCCTTATTGGAATCCTATCCAACCATCTTGGAACATCAGCAGCATGTCTTCCATGGTGTCTTGGAAAGAAGAGCCTGTGTCACCCCTCAGCTCTGAGGTACGACGTGTTTGTCGCCGACATTCGCAGTTTTTTTAATCGTTTTTTTCGATTTCAGGAGGTTTCACTGCTCGATGACTCGTTCTTTCAAACAGCTCTCGATGATATAAAATTCGAGCATGACGTCTTCGAGGATTGCGAATCCAAGGCTGAGGTGGCATCTCAGATCTTGGAAAACTTGGAAAATCTTGTTGATTTGGATGAGCTCATTAAATCAGGTTGGTGTCCACCATGAACCGTTCAATGTGGACAGTATGGCGAATGCGCGCACACACGCTTTTTGTTGCATTTGCGTCTTCAAATTAAATGCATGTAATGAAAAACCTTCAGTTAGATGAACTAAATGCAGTCCTTGCACGCGTTGAGCCCGAAAAACTGTCTACTAGACGAATGGGCATTTTCTAATAGAAAGGCACGATTGTCATCAAACAAACGTTTTTTTGTCCTGCTGCTGAAAGCGCTTACTGTACTAATCGCATAGTTGGCACTTAAAAATTGCCTGCTGTTCATAAACCCGATTTGCTTTAAGGCATGTGTTGTTGCATAATGATTGAGCGCTTTTTCGGCACAATGCAGGCGGATGAACTGTTTAAAGGCGAATACTAAACACTTTTATACAGTACAATTCTCTTGTGCAGATTTATCCCCGTGCTTCATTGTACTCTGCAATGTTAGACTAAATAATATTATAAAGTAAACAACAACAATTCTTGGATTTTCCGGTCTGGGGGTTTATGACTACCATGTTAGGATAAATAACTCACTTGTACACAATTTTAATTTTCTGCAATTGATTCAACAAGCTGCAGAAAGGAACAAACATTGATATTAGCTGTTTTAAGATGCAACACGCGCGTTGCCTGGCTTATCGTGCTTTTGCAGATTGAGCAGCATTAAAAAACCCATCTTTATCTCTCGATACGGAATCGTAATAATTAAACATCGATGTTCCTGGAATCTGCAATGCAAACTTTGGCTGTCTGGAATAACCTTATGAGTTGGAAAATCCATCCATCCAAAAAGTGTCGTTTGTAAAAATGTACCTACGTTTGTATCTCAACATATTGGATAAAAACACTTTCGTTTTCAATGCCAGATAACATAAGCGGAATTTTTGTTATCCAAGAACCTTAATTTTGATGACTCCCTTGGCCATAAGAGGGTCATGGTTGTGACATGGGATGTTAAGAGCGTTTGTTTGGTCAAACTCGAGCCAAAATAAGGACAGTTTACATAAATACTGATTTGCCGGTATCAGCTACGTGTTTGTTTCATGTAGTTCTTGAGCTCCAGGTCCGTCTAGTTGGAGATTTTTAATTGTTGCTTCCAAACTAGAGCTTTGCTTGTTTCAATATCACTTTGTTACTATACTGTGTTAATTTATCGCTAGTAACCTACTTTTTTAATGTGGCATTTATCATTGTTCGGCTTGTTGTGTTAGCTTAGATAGGATTTCGAATAGGTCACTTAGTGTGTAGATAATTGTTCCTAACTGCCTGCTGTCTTGAATAAGGATGCAGAAATGATCGGAAAAAAGGGAGCAAATCACGTGTTGTCTGCATAATTTCAATTGAGTCGGACTAAATGCCCTTTTAATTGTTTGAAGAATTATTTTTCTGGTGTTTGTGCGTCAATGCATGTGGCAAATGGTAAAACCCCGCGTTTTGCAGGAAAACAATCTTAAGATCCCAAAACAAAGAGAAGCTGGGAGTGCGTTCGACAGATTAGGCGCCGCTTGAACATTTGAATCTTCCACTAGAACCAATCGCAAATAAATCGCCTCCGTGTTCAAACAATCAAATCGAACACATTTCCTTATCTTCGGCATTGGTCACATGATCTTGCGGTCAGTTTCTCGTAAAACGAGGGGGGGCAACATCGATTTGGGGGACACCAGCCAAGTTGTTAGTAAGACGGACTACTTCGAGTTAAATCGACATTCATTTGTACAGCGATTGTGATTAGTTGCAGTCGTTCTCCAATATTAAGTTAGTTTTTGCGCGCACTTACGCTGCAATAGTAAAGGAAAGTAGTAGCGGATTTTCCGAGCGGCTGTTTCTTGGTAAAAGTGCGACCGAATTTGTGACAGTGTGTTTTCCAAAGCCCCAATGTCATCCGGTGCCAATGTCTTTCGCTATCAACGGAAATAGTATGAAATTTTGCTACCATTACACGTGGAATAGAGAGATTGTGTTCAATTCCCAAAAACTGGTTAAAAGACGTTGAAAGTCGACCGCAGCCACCACCAAAACCCCCCTTTTAAGACGTCACTGCCACAAGATCTAGGATTTTAAGACCAAAAGACTACTCTACTGCCCAAGCTTTGCTGTGTTCTAATTGACGATCTCTACTGGCGCTTCAAGCAATTATGGCCCTTTGCTATGGTAGGTATCGTCAATAATGCGTTTCCTGAGGATGTGGTGGATATCACAATTGGTTGCCCACAATGCCACATCAAAACGTTCTTGTTCATCGCTTAATTAGGATACAAGCCAAGATGTGGCAATCAGCCGAAACTCAATTATCTTGATTGGCTTTAATTAATAACAAAGCTTTATGCAGATCAGCGCTCTTTTAATCAGCTCGAAGGCTTTGGGGAGCGATTCATAAATGCAAAAGAACATAAGGAAATTGCGTATTAAAAAGCAGAATGTCAAGATCAACTTTTTATCATCGTCCGGCGTCCCGAATAAAAAATGGCATAAATCTAGGTTTAAATTTCCAAGTCGAACTGCCAATGCTAGTTTGATTCTTATCGGCTGCTTGCAAAGTGGGATCAAATAATTTAACTTGCGGTTAATTTTGGCAAATTCTTTAACCTTTGCATGATCGACTATTGGCTCGCGATACAAAGAGTAGTATATTGGAAATTTTTCGACGAAAATGCTCTCAAAATTAAGGCGAATTATGTTTGAAATGTTGCCTTTAATATGTGCAGGTCAATGGGGAAACTGAAATTCCAGTCTCTTACACAATCCATGAATAAGTGTGTCTAGCTGATTTTATGTAGAAAGTTATTATATCGATGTGGTGTTAAATTCAGAGATAAATCAGACCACACTCGCATAATGTTTTCGCATTAGGAAGGCGTAGATCTGTAAAGAAATTGAGGCTTTATAGTCCTTATTTCCGATGCAGACCATGCTAAATTGGCTCAAAAATCGCCATCAAACGCTACAAAAGTGTCGGAGTAGATTGCAGAAAGGAAATAGTTTTGAATTTTCTGTAGAAACTGAAGATTTTTAATTAAAATGGAAATTTACTATTAGAATTAACAAAAAATTGGTTTTGAAATAAATTAATCTTTAGTTGTGCTTATCGTTAACAGGTGAAGAGCACAAAGGTGTAGAACAAAGTCACAAGAATCGATGAATATTCTAAACAATCACAATTTTAATCTTGAAATGGTTTAACTTTCGCAAACTTAATCCAATATTTTAATTATAATTAACCGAAAGTTCAGGACTTGTTTGATGTAATGGAAAAAATAATTTTTTTTAGTTGTTTTCTTTCCTGGTGGGCAAAATCTGATATTTTCTAGAAAGCCTGAATTGTATGTTTTTTGGTCAACTTCTGATTCTGTCTGGAAAACTTGAGGAACGATAGTTTGTATTTTTTGCAAATATTCGGTGAAATTGATGTTTTCTAGTGGTAATTCAAGGTTTATATCAGACCAAATTCGTAAAATTATTGAAAACTTTGAATTTATGCCCGAAAAATCGAAAGCAGAAATACCAAGTAGACTAAATTACTTCAATTGGCTAATGAAGCTTCCTGCTGCTTTCAAGGTTCAAATCGCGATTAAAAAGCTATTCAATTATGTTATTTTCATTAATGCGCTGCGAATGAAGATATTTAGTGCAAATGGTGAAGTGTTAGGGGTGTCCCTGGTTAAGCGAAATTTCGATATACATTAACAAAAATTTCGTTATTATAATTAAAATCAATATATTCATCTTTTATAATCTACATCGGATTGTTCAATCTCAGTTTCGAAATGGTGGCAAGGAAACAGTAAATAATGCAAACTTTCCTTAACAAAACACACAGTCTCGGCCATAAAAGCGATTTTTTAATTGATAGTTGGGCGTTATTATCTCTCTATACATGGGTATCGTTCGTACACACCCACTGAATATATTAAATAATCCGGGCGATTATTTGCAATTGAAGGAAAAGACACAGATACAAGTGCTCGGTTTATTGTCTGTGCTATATGCGATTGAAGTTACATAGAAAGTCCCCGCACTTATCTATAGACATGGATATCAGATAAAACATATTTGAGATTTCAGCGATTACAATTTCTGAATAATTTCGGTTACTTAACACAATATAGAATGTCTAAGAGTAGGTTTACCTTGCACGGACCGGACAGCACGCTCTATTTAACTTGCGGCTGTAAATTCAGTAGCTGTATGTTGCCAGGAATTTATTTTTTTTGTCATTTGCGTGCCATGCGTTAAGTGGTTAATCAACAAGCATTAAAAAAACGCATTAACTAAATAGTTATTTTTCATTAATCGTATGCATATTCTTCACTGCCTGTTGATTTAATATTCCGCTGAATTACGTAAGATTTTTTGGAATATTTTGGACATGAACCTTGCGACCTACATGCTTTGGGACATGTTCAATACTAGATTGATTGTATTTTCCTTGTACATATTTATACTGAAACGTAGATTAAACCGATATTTTGAATTAATTTTTAGACCTTGGCGGGTTTATTAGCAAGCGTGGTGTTCAATTGTAAATATATCTAATATTCTCATGTGAAGAACCGAAATGTAACTATTTGTCCATTCACTTAGCCTGAGTTGATTGCAAGCATAAATAAAAATTCAAATACATAAGTGTAAGCCCGTGTCCCATGCATCCGTTTGTACGATGATACGATGGTACGAAAGTGTTTCTATTGGTTGGAGATCTGTCAATTCGTCCACGTCATACGACGACAGACGAATTGACAGATCTCCAACCAATAGAAACACTTTCGTATCATCGTACAAACGGATGCATGGGACACAGGCTTTATATGGTACATCTGATTAATGTACCTACATAATCTCGTATCGATCAAAGATGCTTAGAAGTAAACAAGTTTAATATACAACGTTCCGGACGAGTTATTGGCGGCAATTTACATTTTTGCCTGTCTTCAAGCCTCCATTCACCAATGTTACAACGCAAATTTCAGGTCTTATTCGGGATTAAAAAAATTCACGTTTTTCTTACGTAAAGCTTTAATTTTCATACCAATACGCAATGGCTGAAGCATTCGCCACTGTTTGTCCCATGTTAACATTCCTTCAAGGTTACTACGAGCAAAGAGTAGTACGAGCAAAATTTATCAAGACAACGTTCAGTTGCCAAAAAAAATGTTTATTTTATTGAGCGGACAGTTGCTTCCTGGGTGGAACCCAGAAATGGGTTTGTGTATGAAAAAACTCATATTTGTAAACGTCCAAAAGTGGGTCAAGGGAATTCTCTAAAAATGCAATTAAAAAAATTATTTTCCGATGACTAAACACCGAAATTGACTTTGCTGCAAAAAGTTGTTGTCGCAAGACACAAACACACCTTCGAAGAGCGCACCAGTTTCGTCTTGTGATTGTCCGAAAAGCTTTATTGCTACACTTTGCTTTCGCGATTTAAATCAATCGATTCTTGGTCGATCAAAAATACTTTAAATCGTTTATCAGCTAAACTTTTGCAAACAACCATGGAAAAGTACATAAATCATGCAATTGTAAAGGACATAAACACTTTTAATTTATTATCCAGCTTCAATGTGGTGCAGTAAACATGAAATGTTCAGAATTAATAACATAATTGAAGGCGACCTTTCATGACTGCTGATAGAGCTTATTTTTATATTTTAATATGCAGTTCTTGTTAGTGCTGCTGATTTCTTTAAGCGTTTATCGTTTTTATGGCGTTTTAGTAGATCAGTTTTCCATTAAAATCCTTAAGTAAAGTGCAGATTTCATTTGCAGTTGTTCTTTGACGGGCTTTATCGTTCGAATAGTCATTAGCCAGGCCTAATTTTAGGTTGACGACCTGAAACTAAATACATATTATTGATAAGAATTGTTTACTTTTTCATTAATTGCCTGTTTTAGTTTGTTCACAATTAATAATGCGGTCAGGTTTCTATTTAAAATACATTAAATCGCCTTGCTGAGGAGTTTTAAATTTTCAACGCTCAAGTGCGTAAAGATCTCTGTTATGGCAACAATTGCCGCTGTTTGAGTAAACTGTGTTGTAGCAAACAACCTGTACCGAAGGATTAGATTAGACATTAATATTATTCACATTAAAGAGTTAAAGATTAATTAATTGCTGTTTGTTGTCTCGTACGCACATAAACGGCAACAGCCTAGCAACAACTATCAGATTAGACGACCCTGGGTTGAAAAAGAACCGTGCAAGAAATATTACTCTCTTTTTGCTAAATAAATTATTAACTTCTTGAATTGTTAATGTGGTCGGTAGACAATATTTCAAAAGGGGACCGAATTTGTCACCTGGTTTGCCTTGGACGATAATATTGGCTGATTTTATTGGACATCGATTTCCTTATTCTTTCTTAATTCGATTAATTGAACTAATGTTGAGTTTATTTCGGAGCCACCCTGTATATCCTCTAGGGCCACACCTATAATTGGTCTTAACAATAACAATTATATTTTTAAATAATGCATAGATCAAGTTTGATTATGCATGTGACTGGTCTATGCATACATATAAATCACTCATTAGATCTGTTGATTTTTTTCATTTTTGTTACTTATTCTCCATTTGTTATTATCTTTACATAAATACGGGTTCAATACAAGTAAATCAGCATACGTGAGTGATGCATTGTATCCAACTGGCGCAGTATTACACGTGTTGGGGGACGGAATTAGGATGCAATTTTAAATTATTCATTAAAGTTGTCTCATGATGAAATGTGGTGTGATTCTGATCTTGGATGAAGAATGGACTGATACGATTAATTAAAGCACTTGACATGAATAATTCAAGAAAAAATAACAATATTTATAAGAGTCTCAAGAGGGAGTCGAAATTATTCAGCTAACAAAGTGTTTGTGCTTGAAGATAG